ATCGATGACCTCACAGCCTCTGGGGTCAATTCCACGGCCGCGGCGCTGGAGTGCATTGAGCACGAGACGCTCGATGTCCTGGCAGCAACCGTCCAGGCGTTAGTCGCTGGCGGGACCGGCGTGGAGCACATCCGGTTCCGGAAGGACGACGTGTGCAGTGCGTATAAGACGTTGCCATTGCGCGAAGACCACATGCCGTTTGCAGCCGCCGTAACGGCTGACTCGGTTGAGCGGGGGTCTTTCCTGCAGCTGCTCTGCTGCCCGTTTGGGGCGAAAGCGAGTGTCCACGCGTGGCAGCGCGTGGGCATTGCCTTCCAGTGCATTCTTCTGAATCTGTTCAGCATAGTGTATCCGCGTTTCGTGGACGACTTTTTTGGAGCAGATGCAGACAGTGCTATGGCCGGCAACAATACTGCAGCCACCAGCGCGTCCGTCGCCCGCTCTGTGATCCAGGAGCTGCTCGGGTGGCGGCTTGACACTCAAAAGGAGGTCACCGCCGCTCGCGGTTTCACTGCACTCGGCGTGGGCGTGTCCCTCGACGCAGGGGCGCGGTCTCTGCATTTTGTCGTGCCGGCCGAAAAATGCACCAAGTGGTTGGCAGAGATTTCAGATATCCTTCTAGGCCAGCCGGAGGCTCTCCCCAGCAGGCGCGCAGAAACTAGCCGGGCGGCTCAGCTGGGGAGCCACGGAAGTTTTTGGCAAGGGGGCGCGCGTGTACCTCGCCCCACTGTTCCGGCACGCTTATGGCAACAGCAGCCGGATGCCGATGCGTCTGGTCAGGGCGCTTGAATGGTGGCAACGGTTTCTGGCAACGAATCCTCGTAGGAGTTTGCCTCTGGAGCCATCAAGCAAACCGCGCTTGGTGGTTTACACAGACGCTACAGGGGCAGGCACGCTGGCTTGGGCCGCGGTGCTTGCAGGCCAGAAAGTTTTTGCTTCCGCGCGAGTCCCCCGCTGGCTCAACCAGTGGGCGTGCTTCCGCCGGCAGCAAATCGCCACGTGGGAGCTGGTGGCCACTGTCTGCGCTCTGTGGTATTTCTTTGAATCAGCCGCGAACGCGGGTGGCTTCGACATCGTGTTGTTCATAGACTCGACGGTGGCGTTGGGCACCCTGCTTCGCGGCTGCTCACGGCAGCGCGACTGGAACGACATAGTGTCTGGCATATGGTTCGCCGCGGCAGACCGCGCCCATATTCTTAGCGTTTTTCGCGTGCCGTCGCATCTCAATGTTGCTGATTGGCCAACCCGGGAGGAGCTGAAGGCGAGCGAGATGCAGCGTTTGGCTGCCAGTGGCTTTTCCCGGCTCGAGTGGGCTTGGCCGTCAGTAGACTTTTGGCAGGCGTGAACCAGCGAGGGAAAAAGTATTGTGCGCTCAAGGAAAACAAGTAATGCATGTCGGTCGTCCGTTGCCGTCAGTCAGGCTTACTGGGCCCGCATTCCTTGTCATCCGCAGCCGGTTTGGCCCAAGATGGACCGGAAACGCCTGCGGGGCAAGCAGCCTCGTGGCGATGGCGGCCCTGAGCTGGCCCCACGCGCGTCACCGGCAAACCTGATCGGGCCGCGGCTGGCAGACCCGGCGGTGCCTACGCTGGCCCCAGTGGCGTTGTGCGAGTGGTTCGCCGCCGTGCTCAGGCGCGCGCCTCCCGCGTGCCATCCGCCGTCGCCCCAGTGCGTTCTGAGGGGCCTGGCAGCGGGGGGCGCTGTTGACGGATCGGATTTTTCCGGCTTGGGCGTCCAAGAGCTGAAGGACGTGTGGCCGTGTCTCCACGGGCTTCGAGACGAGTTCGTGGCGGCCTTGTCCACCGTTCCGGCCCGCGCCGCGGTGGGGCAGCCTGCCGCGCAGACCGAGGCCCGCGCCCAGCGGGGGGCGCCTGCGCCGGCGGCCACCAAGGTTCCCCCAGCAGGAGGGCCCGCGCATGCAGAGGACGAGGCGCCGGCCACAGGGCATGCCGCGGAGACTGGCGAGGCTGCGCTGGCGGCGCTCGGCTTCCTCGCTGCAGCGCGCCTCTGGCGCGAGCTCGTGAGCCCCGGGGAGATGGCGGACGCGGTGCAGACGCTGGGCCGCGTCACGCCGGAGGAGTTTCAGCTTGCGTGGGAGAAGCGCCACGGTGGCATCCCCGGCAATCCGCGGGAGCGCGCGGCCCAGATTGGGCCCGAGATGGCCGGGTTCATGGCAACGCAGGAACTTCTCAGACGCGAGTTGCTCGCGTGGCACCGGAGCGCATACAAGTATGCTTCTCCGGTGCGCCTGTGGGGGCAAGTGGCCCGGAACCTCGGGGTTGATGCTTGGCCCCCGTCGGAGCCAGTGCTCGGGGCATTCGCATTTGCAGTGCAAAACGGTGCCAGTTTGATGACCTACTGCACGCAGGTCCGCACTGTGCTCCGGCTGCTCCACATGCCGCTGGGGTGCCTGGAGGACACGTCGTGTCTGGCGCGTGGTGCGAGCAAAGCGGCTGTGGCCACTCGGCGGTTCCGGGCGCGGGCATCGGCGCGACAGACACGTTCCTTGTCGCAGCACGTCCGGGAGGTTCTGGGCGATCCCGAGACAGCGGATGCGTTCGTAGTGGCGAGGCAGTTTTGCTTCCGCTTCGCGTCCGAACTGGTGCCACTGCAGGCAGACGGGCCCCACTCCAAGGTAGTCCTGTCAACCGTGGACGGCTTGCCGACGGCCAGCGTGCACCTGCATCGGCGCAAGACGTACACGGAGACGACGGTCGTGTCCAGGCGGTGCATCTGTGCCCTGCAGTCCCGGCAGCTTTGCGGGGTGTGCGCGCTGCGCGGTCGCGTGCAGACAGGGCGGGTTTTTCCGGCGCTGTCATACAGGCACGCCCTGCCCCAGCTGAAGGTGGCGGCGCTGGCGCTGGGCCTCGAGCGCGCGGGAGAGTGGGGCACGCACGCCTTCCGCCGCGGGTGGGCGGACGAGTGCCTGGCGGCCGGAGGCGTCCCAGCGCTGTTCCACAGCGGGGGATGGCGGGGAGTGGCCGCCTTCGGTTACGCTTCCGCGGCGTCGCGGGACGCGGCGACCGCGGCGGAGTGGCTCGTTGAGTTCTCAGAGTCGTCTGCGTCCGAGGGGTCGCCGGCGCCGTGAGCCAGTAAAATGTCGCTTCCATGCGCGGAGTGCTTGCGCCGTGCCTTCCGCCGCCCCTCCCCCCCAGCCCTCCCCGGCGTGGCGTTTGCAGTGGCGTCGGTATTCCAGGGCTGCGGTCACGTCGTCAGCAGTGGGGGGTGCGGCCTGGGTCGCCGTGAGCCCCAGCAGTGGGTCTCGAGGTCTCGGTTGGGTCTCTCGAGCGCCCCTGGCCGGCCGCACCGAGTGCGTTGCCCAACTGTCAGTGCGGGCGCACTGGACCACCCCAGGGGGGAGGCAGCCCACCATAATCTTCGTCGTCCCTGAGCTTGGTTCCTGGGGAAGAAGATTCTGGGCAGGCTGCATCCTTGTCGCCATGGCTGGATTCGGGGATTCGTCGCTACTGGCTGCATTGTTTTCCGCCCGAGTCCGAGGCGGGGTATCAAGTGTCGGCACTCGCTCCCGAGGGGGTAGTTGTGTTGTGCCTTCCCTGGCGGCCCGAGGGCCTGGCAAGGGGGGCGCCGTGTCGCAGGCTCCCGTGTGGGCCCGAAGGATCCCCTGAGGGCCCAAGCACACCTCGTGGTGCTCGGAGTTGGCGTCTGCGGACCGACGACGGTGCCCCAGGAGGGCGCTTGGCGAACGATGCTTCGTCTGCGGGCCGAGGGCTATTGGCTGGCGTCGCCAGCTTCCCCGCCCTCCCTCCCTGGTGGGTCTGGTGCGTCGGCTGGCGGGGTCTCGAGGTCTCGGTTGGGTCTCTCGAGCGCCCCTGGCCGGCCGCACCGAGTGCGTTGCCCAACTGTCAGTGCGGGCGCACTGGACCACCCCAGGGGGGAGGCAGCCCACCATAATCTTCGGGCCACTTGGAGCTGATTTGTTGGGGGTGTCAGGGACGTTGTTCGGGGGGGCCCCTGTTTGCGCCGTGCTTGAGCCCTCGTCGGCTGAACCGTACACTGCGTCCACGCATTCTGCTCGAAGTGGGTTGGGCTGCGAGCGGCGGACACGCTGCCGACAGGCCCTCCCCTTAGGCTGCGCCTGGAACCTTCTGGGAACCAAGCGTAACGCCTGCTTGGGCTCTTGTTGGGGCTTCCCGCGGGGTCCCCCCTGGGGACCGCCCGGGCGTGCGGGAGCAGCTCTGGGCGGCCCTAGGTGTGTCTGGGCGGTGCTTGGGGGAATCCGGGGGCGCTCGGGAAGTGCATCGGGGCGACGCCGGGCGGCCCCGGGCCATCCGGCCGTCCATCCGGCCGTCCCGGGGACCACCCTGGCGGCCTCTTGGGTCGTCTTGGGGGCCCACCGCAGGCCGTCGTGGAGCTCTGCTGGGCCGCCCGGGAGCTCTGCGGGGTGTCCTGGGCGCCCTCCCGGGTGGAGCCCTCGCGCCGTCTTGGAGTGCGCCAGGGGGCCCTCTGGGGCCCTCCGTGGGTGATCTGGTGCGATCGACCATCTGGCGGCGAGCCCCGGGGGGGGGGAGAAGAGAGAAGGAGAAGGACTCCAAAGGGCTCGGAAGTCCCCTGGCCTTCCAAGATGTTTCCTAAGCCTTCCCGAACGCAAACACAAATTAGAAGGCGGGAGGGCCTCTGAGGTGTCCCGCCGCCTTCTGAGAAGGCCTTCTCCTTCTCATTTGCCCTCGCTCGCCGCCGAAATACAGAGAAATGCTACAACAGCCTTGGGACAAACCATTGTGTTTGCTGTTGGTGGCTCTCGCAAGGGCCCCTTTCGAGGAGTCTTGGGACGCGCTTGGGGCCCCTTGGGGCCGCCCTCTTGGGCGGTCGAATGCCTCCCTTGCAACGCCTGGGGCTCTCTTGAGGTATTGTGCTTGGGCCGTCTTGAAGCGTCCCGAGGGCGCCGGCGAGCGCGCCAGGGCCTGCCAGGTCGATTCTGATCTACCTCATTGCAATGTACTTCTGACATGCAACGCTCGTGGCGTTGTAGAAAAGATGACGTCGGGCTCCAGCTTCGCCTCCCGCATCTCGCTGAGCAGCGCCAAAGCCCGCTGCCATTGCTCGCCCTTCTCGCACGCGCTGGTGCCAGCGTTGTAGCTGAACCCGTGGACTTCGTCTACGACCAGCAGATCCCCCTGGCGGGCATCCACGTTGGGCCCCCGCCTAAGAAAAAATCACCCCTTAGCATTCGGTTACTTTTTCCGGCCGCCATTCCGAAGTTGGAAGGCGGGCACTTCCTCCTCTTCGTCCGCCTTCCGCTCCACATCCGCCTGGACAGCCTTCGGAGCATCACAGACGGCTATGGTGGGTCTGCGGTGTGCCTCCCGCCGCTTGTCTGCTCCCCCTGGTTTGAACCATTTTGAGAGCACCTTGGGCCGAGAAAAAAGTCACCCGAAGGGCTCTGGTGACATTTTTCTGGTTGACTTTTCGAAGCCTGATAGTGGGCGCTGCCTTCTGCTGAGGAACTGTTTGGGGGCCTCCCGGGGTTCCTTTTCGGCCTCCTGCGGGCCTCTTGGGGCCCTTTTGGGCCGTCTTGCGGCCTCCTGGGATCCTCTTGGGGCCCTCTTGGGCCGCCTTGGGTGTCTCTCGGGGCCGTCTGGAGCCGTCTTATGCCGTCTGGGGGCCGTCTAGAGGCCCTCTGGGGCTTTGTACTTCACCGATCGCTCTTTCAATGGGCGTCTCTGGGCCTGCTTGGTGGTCCGTGTGGGGGTCTTTTTCGGGCCATTCTGAGGCTTTTTTGGGCTGCTCTGGGAGCGTTTTGGAACGTTTTGGGACCTTTTTGGACCGTCACGGAGCGTCCGGGAGGCCTTGGACAGTCTTGGAGCTCTCTTGAGGCTGCCTGAGGCCGTCTTGGGAGCCCCCTGGGGCCCCCTCGGAGCTCTCTTGGGGCCGTCTTCTTGGGGCTCTGTGAAATCGTTTCAGGGCTTTCTGGCGTCGTCTTGGGGCTCCTTTGGGCCGTCTTGGAGCTCTCTTAGGGGCCGCTGGCGTCTTCTTGGGGCGATTTTGAAGGCCTCTTGGCGTGTCCTGGGCCGCTGAGGAGCACACAAGGCGGGCACGCTGAACATATACATTTTCCCATCGGAATTTGACGATGTGTGCCTCTTTGGCTTGCGCTCGGGGCCCTCTTGGGGCGTCTTTGCGGCCTCTTGGATCGTCGTGGAGCCCCCCCCCCAGAAGGCTTCGGGCCCTCGTGGGCCGTCTCGGGACCCACTGAGGCCGTCTCGGAGAGCTCTTGGACGATCTGGGACCCCTCTGGAGCGCCCCTGGGACCGACCTGAGCGATTCGGCCTCGTGGTGGCGCCATAAATGGGCGATTTTGTGCACACGTGGCGTGAACCATTTTCGCACGCAGATCCACTGGCCATGTAGGAGAGACTAGGGCTGACCCGTGGACTCCGTCCACTACATCTTTCTGGAATGGTTCTCGGAGGAACGGCGGAGATTTAGCCGAAAACTTGTAAGCACGGCGGCGACTGGGGCGGCGGCAGCGAGACCGCGCCTTCGTGTCCGAGCTCTAGCAGCGCTCCAGCAGTTTGGCCGTCGCGGGGCCGCCGTCGTCGCCGTCATCGTCATGGCTCCTGGGAGCCGTTCGGGGACATGTTGGGATCTTTTGGGCGCACCTTGGGGGTCTGCTGGAACCCGTCGGGTGCTTTTTTGGCCGTCCTGGAGGCTTCTTGGAGCCTCCTGGCTCTGTTGGGCCTCTCTTGAAACCGTCTTGGCTGCAATTTGCGCTCTCCTGGCCGCCTCCGGGGCCGTCCTGTCCGCCTGTGGGGCCGTCATGGGGCCCTCTGGGCTCGTCTTGGGGCTTTCTTGGGGGCCTCTTCGGCCGTCTTGGAGCTGTCTTGGGAACCTCTTTGGCGGCGGTGGATGGTGTGGAAGCCGACAAGGCGAGGACGGCCAAAAACGTGCAAAAAGCAATGAAAATCTAGGATTTGTCTTGCTCGGGGCCTTCTGGGGAAGCTTCTGGGGAGGTCTCTCGAAGCACCTTGGAGATCTGTCGGGCCGGCTTGGGCCAATCTTGGGCCAATCTCGAGCGTCTGGGGCCCATCTGGGGAGCCCGTTGAGCCGACTTGGAGGCCCTCTGGGCCCGTCTTGGGGCTCTCTTGGGGTCCCTGGTCCCTTTTCGGCCGTCTGGGACCAGTCTTGGGAACGTCGTGGGCGGTCGTAGATCGCCTGGAAGCCGAGAAGGCGAGCACCGTAAGAACACCGCAAAAGGGAATGACAATCAATGTTTTGTCCTTCTCGGGGCCCTCTGGGGAAGCTTCCCGGGAGGTCTCTCGAAGCACCTTGGAGACCTTTCGGGCCGGCTTGGACCAATCTTGGGCGAATCTCGAGCGTCTGGGGCCCATCGGGGGGGCCCGTTGGGCCGACTTGGAGGCCCTCTGGGCCCGTCTTGAGGCTCTCTTGGGGGCCTCTTCGGCCGTCTTGGAGGCGTCTTGGGAACTTCTTGGGCGGTCTTGGATCGTGCGGAAGCCGAAAAGGCGAGCACGGCAAAAACTCTGAAGAAACAATGAAAACCAATATTTGTTCCTGCTCGGGGCCCTCTGGGGAAGCTGCCCAGGAGGTCTCACGGAGCACCTTGGAGACCTGTCGGGCCGGCTTGGGCCTCTTGGGGCTCTCTTGGCGGGTCTTCGAGCCTCTCTGGGCGGCCCGGGGCGGCCCAGGGCCAGCTCGGGGCGATTTTGCCCCAGTTGATCCTGCGGCGCTCTGGCACGCTCGGCCCCCGGCATTAGAAGATAGACTAGGGCGAACCCCTGGACTTTGTCCACGTCATCTTGGGCTGGTCTTGGCTCGAAATGGTCGTCTTGGACTGGTCTTGGCTCGAAATGGCGAAAACGTGGGATCTTTCAAAACCGTGGGAAAATCAATGATTTCGTTTGCCGCGGCCCGTCTGGACGGCCTCTGGGGCCGTGTCGGGGCCACAGTGGGAGGTGTTGGGCCGTTTCGGATCTCCCTGTGAGCCCGCTTGGGCAACTCTTGGATCCGCCTGGGGCCTCCTGGGGGCTCTCTCGCGCCGTCCTGGGTCTCTCTTGGGCCGCTTGTTTTGGGCTCTTCTGGGAGCCGTCTGGGAGCACTCCTGAGCCAACTTGGGGCCCTTGCAGGAGCCTCTTGAGCCTTGGAGCATCCGTATGGGGGCCCAGGAGCCGCCTTGTGCCGCTCTTGGCTCGAAATCGCGAGGACCCGAACATTGGGCGAACACCGTAATTAGAGCAATCAAGGATTCGTCGCTGCTCCTCGCGAACTTCTCCTCGCTGCTCCTCGCGGGACGCGATGCTGGAGATGAGAGCACCGAACAATCAGGCGCACACCGTAGAACCTGAACGTCAGGCGAGCACCGGATTTCTGGCCGCCGCGAGCCGGCTGCGCGGCCCCTGGGGCCGTCCTGGGGCCACGTTGGGGCTCGTGGCCCGCTCCCGGCGCTCCCGGAAGGCGTCCCGAAGCGAGCTCGGGCCGCCCAGAGACCGCGCGAGGCCGCGCCAGGGGCGCCATAAGGGGGCCCGCCGAGGCCGAGCTTCGGCACCTCGTCCATGGTCCCCTCCCGCGTGCGCTTCACCCAGCCGTGTGGGGGAGATGACGCTGGGCTCCAGCTTCGCCTCCCGCATCTCGCTCAGCAGCGCCAGGGCCCGCTGCCACTGTTCGCCCTTCTCGCACGCGCTGATCCCAGCGTTGTAGCTGACTAGGGCAGACCTGTGGACTCCGTCCACGACATCAGCTCGACGTGGCGAGGGGTCTCTGGGCAAGCGCGGGGGGGTGCGGCTGCAGGGCCGAAAGGCAATCATGATGGCGTCGGGCTCCTCCTCCTCCTCCTCCTCCTCCTCCTCCTTTTCCACCTTCTTCTCCTCTTTCGCTGGATTCTCCATGCCCTCGGTCGGCAATCGTCGATCCTACGACGACTCTCCCCAACAGAGAAACATCGAAGGCCCTCGGAGCGTCCAACATTGTTCTTTTGTGCCTTCGATATGCCGGTCGCCTCTCGTCCGCTCCCCCGCTCCTGGAAGGAATTCTGAAGGCACTGAAGGCTTCGTAGGGGCCGTTTCGGAGCCTCTTCGGCCTTCGTTTGGGCCTCGCGGGGGGGCTCTTAGGGCTCTCTCGGGCCGTCTTGGGTGCCTCTTGGGCCGTCTTCGGGCCATCTGAGGCCCTCCTTGGCGCCTCTTCGGCTGTCGTGGGCCGTCTTGGGCCGCTCCTGGGGCCGTCTTGGGTGCCTCTTGGGCCGTCTTGGGCGCCTCCTGGGCCGTCCGGACGCCGTCCTGCGGCGTCTTGGGACCGTCTTGGGGCCCTCCTGGCCCGTCTTGGGGCTCTCTTGGGGTCCTCTTCGGCCGTCTTGGAGCGGTCGGGGGGGCGTCTTGGGCCGTCTTGGAGCGTCGGGAAGGCGACGAGGCGAGGAGGCCGAAAACATTGACAAACACAATAGAAATCGACGATTTCTGTCGCTCGGGGCCCTCTTGGGAGGCCTCTTGGGAGGCCTCTTCGGGCGTCTTGGACGCCTCGAGGGCCTCCTGGGGCGAATCTCGGACGTCTTGGGCGCTCTTGGGCTGTCTTGGGCCGTCTTGGGCCGCTCCTGGGGCCGTCTTGGGTGCCTCTTGGGCCGTCTTGGGCGCCTCCTGGGCCGTCCTGGGGCCGTCACCGTCTGGGGGCCCTCCTGGCCCGTCTTGGGGCTCTCTTGGTATCCTCTTCGGCCGTCTTGGAGCGGTCGGGGGGGCGTCTTGGGCCGTCTTGGAGCGTCGGAAAGCCGACGAGGCGAGGAGGCCAAAAACATTGAAAAACACAATAGAAATCGACGATTTCTGTCGCTCGGGGCCCTCTTGGGAGGCCTCTTGGGAGGCCTCTTCGGGCGTCTTGGACGCCTCGAGGGCCTCCTGGGGCGAATCTCGGGCGTCTTGGGCGCTCTTGGGCTGTCTTGGGCCGTCTTGGGCCGCTCCTGGGGCCGTCTTGGGTGCCTCTTGGGCCGTCTTGGGCGCCTCCTGGGCCGTCCTGGGGCCGTCCTGCGGCGTCTTGGGACCGTCTGGGGGCCCTCCTGGCCCGTCTTGGGGCTCTCTTGGGGTCCTCTTCGGCCGTCTTGGAGCGGTCGGGGGGACTTCTTGGGCCGTCTTGGAGCGTCGGAAAGCCGACGAGGCGAGGAGGCCGAAAACACAGAAAAACACAGTAGAAATCGACGCTTTCTGTCGCTCGGGGCCCTCTTGGGAGGCCTCTTGGGAGGCCTCTTCGGGCGTCTTGGACGCCTCGAGGGCCGCCTGGGGCGACTCTCGGACGTCTTGGGCGCATCTTTAAGCGTGCCGGGGCTCTCCGGGGCCGTCTTGGGGGATTTTTGGGACCCTCTGGACGTGTCTTGGGGCCTCCCTGGGCGGCCCGGAGCCAGCCCGGGGCGGTTTTGGTTCATTGGAGCCTGCACCATTCTGGCACGCACTGGGCCCTGCAATGTAGTAGAGACCAGGGCTGGCCCGTGGCCTACAGGCCACGGAGTCTGTCCGAGATGGAACGTTGAACCAGGGCAGATCTGTTGCCGAAAGGCTTTCGTGATGACGAAGGGCCCGAACTTCGCCTCGGCTGTTGCTGCCTGCAGCTGCAGGCTGCGGCTGCCTGCGGCATGTTGTCGCTGCTTACTTTTGCTGTGCTGCAGTTGCCTGCTGCGGACTACTGGTGTTCGCTGTTGCTGCCTGAGGCTGCAGAGTGCTGCTGCTTGGTGCCCTTGCTAGATTATGCAACCTGCAGCTCGTGAGCGGAGCGAGGAGCGAGGAGCCAGGAGTCAAGGTCGAGGAGGCAGGTGGAGGAAACGAAAAGTGACCAGCCAGGAGCACGGAGCTAGAAAGGGAGGAGCGACGGGCGATGAGAGAGAGAGAGAGAGAACGCTAGAGAGAGGCGAGGGGGGATATGAGGGAGTACCGGACAGGAGGGGGGAGGCAGACGCCGGTAGCCAGGAGGGAGAAGCGTGGGGCCAGGAGAGAGGAGGAAAGAGCGATGAGGAGTGAGAAGAGAGGAGCCAGGAGCGAGGAGAGGGAGATGAGAGGCGAGGATAGAGCGGGGCGGAGAGAGGAGCCAGGGAGCCATGAGCGAGAAGGATGGCATGAGACGAGGCCACCACACGCATATCTCAATGGCATCGGCGCGCGTGTGGGCGAACATCTGGTCTCCGCTTAGGTCGCTCATGGGGCTCTCTTGGGTGGCCGGCGCGGTCACAGAGCTCTCTAAACGATCTTCTCTCGGAAGCCTCTTCGAAGCGGTTGTTGGGTTGTCTTGGATCCTCTCTGGGCCCAATTAAAACTTGATTTGGGCGTCTTGGAGGCCTCCTGGGGCTCCTGGGGAGCCTCTTGGGGGCCTGCTGGCGGTCTCGGGGATTATCCTGGGGCGGAGGGCGAGGCATGTCAGCTCGATCTCCCCCTCTTGTGGCCCTCCTGGGCCGTCTTGGGCGCCTCTTGGGCCGTCTTGGGCCGTCTAGGGGCTCTCATGGACGCCTCTGAGACTGTCTTGGGGGCATTTCGGGGTCCTGGAGGGCCTACCGGAACGTTGTAAAAAACAGAAACAAACATGCCAAGCATGTACATTTTCCCAAAAGGGATTGGCACGATGTTGGCCTGTCGGGGCTGTTTTGGAAGCTGCGTGGGGGCCTCTGAGGGCCTCGTTTGGGCGCGTTTGGGCCCTCATGCGCCGCCTTGGGCGCTACTTGGGACGTCTTGTAACCGTGGGCTGTTCGCGCCAGTCTTGCGGAGCTGTCTTGGGGGGCCCTCTTGGACCACGCTTGGAGCGGCTGGTGGGCCTCGTGGGCGGTTGTCTAGCTAACTGGGTCCGCCTTGGGGCCGTCTTGGGCGCCTCTTCGGCCGTCTGTGGGCCCTGTTGGGCCGTATAGGAGGCATGGCCCTAGGCCCGCCGGGGCTGTCCGGGCTGGCCCAGCAGCTCTTCTCGGCCTCCATGGGCCTCTCGGAGGGCAGAAAGGAGCCACTGATGCACGACACCTTCTCGCACGCAGAGCATTCGGCATTGCAGGAGAGACTAAGAAGGGCTGAATCGTGGACTGCCTCTACGAGGTTTACACGAGCTGGCATGCGATTCTGGACATGCTGCCGAATTCCTGAAATGATAGCGTGGTGCTTGAACCTCGCATTCCACGGCCTGCTCCGATGTGCTAATTATCCGATCTCCTTTGCCCTTTCCTCGGATCCCATTCTCTGGCCCGTTTAAGACTTGCTCTCCGATCGCTTTTCCCGACCTCTTCAACTTCTTTACGGCCAATGCTCGATTTCGTTTCCGATCCCGTTCCCCCACTCCTCGGATTCCCTTCTGGCCCGGATCCGAATTGCTCCTCGATCGCGTTCCCGATGTGTTTTTCCTTCGCGGTCCCGCCTCCTCAAAATTCCTTCCGGCCCGTGTGCGAATTGCTTTCCGATCGCGCTCTCCACCCCCCCCTTCGAAATTGCTTCCAGCTGGTGTCCGATTGAATGTCCAATCGCGTGTTTGCCCTTCCCCCGAACGAAGGATTGCAAAAAAACCTTCGTGAACGTACACCTTCGTGAACGAAGGATTGCAAAAAAACACTTCGTGAATATACACCTTTTTGTTGCAATCCTTCGTTCAAGGGTTTTTTTTGCAATCCTTCGTGAATGTACACCTGGCCCCGATTGAATGTCCGATCGCGTTTCGCACCTCTTCGAAGCTCCTTCTGGCCTGTTCTCCGGCCTGCTTCCAAATCGCGTTGCTCCCCTCGTCGGATTTCCCTCTGGCCCGTGTCTGGTGCGCCGTCCGACCGCGTTCTCCCCCCCTCCTCGAATGTCCTTCTGGCCGATTTCTGAGATCTTTCGCATCGCGTTTCCCCCTCCTCGAATTTCCTTTTGAACCGTTTCCAATCTGCTTTCCAATCGCAGTTCCACCCTCCACAGATGTCCTTCTGGCCATTGTCGCATTTGCTTTCCAATCGCCTGTCGCCACTCCTCGAATTTCCTCCCGCGCCGTTTCCGAGTTGCTTTCCGATCGCGTTTCGCCCCTCATGGCTTGGACGCGTCTTGGGGGCTCTGAACTGCATCTGGGGCTCTCTTGATCGAGTAGGGGATTGACTACATCATTGATTTCGCCCAACGTTGGTATGTGGTCGTCCGTAAACGACGTATGCGATTTTGTAGATCTACGAGCACGCTAGGATTATGGTCCGTAGATCCGACGCTAGAATCCAGTCTGGGGTAAACCAAATTCGCAGTCGACCCACCACTCGATTCGAGGGCCCTTTCGGGTGTTGCCGCGGAGCTGCTGGCAGCCTCCTCGGGGCCTCTCTGGGGGTCGCTCCACGGGAGCATCTCGAAGGCGTCTTGGGGGGGTGGGGGGGGGGGCCTGCTGGCCGGGGCGGAGGCTGGATCGGAGGGGAAAGCCTTCGGCATGCACGCTCGGGGACACCCCCTCTGGAGGCCGGCCTGGGGGCCTCTTGGTAGGGGGAAAACAAACCTACCTCGCTTTTGACCACCCTCGCTTCCAAGAGATACCAAACGATGCCAAATTGCAACCTGTACTGCTCCAGCCGCTTGACGAGGAGGCGCGTGGTATGGCTTGGTTTTGCCTGGAAGCGAAAGCGGGGTAGGTAATTCACGCTCCGACTTGGGGGGCCTCTGGCGAATCTGGGGGCCACCCT